TTCAACTATTGAGATCATTCGATCACAACTTTTGGAAAACATCGAATTTACGCAATCCAAAACACCCAACTCCTATATACATATAGCAAGGTATTTTATCAATAGCTTTCAAAGGTTGCTGAAAATTGAAAGACGTTAGACCGGAAGCACAGAAAGAGTACACGAATAAGGTGTTATTGGTGATCCACAGAAGATAAATATTTCCAGAAGATAGGGAATAGATGTGAGTGGAGCACGTTCCAGTAGATTTTGGAGATTTCAGTAATTAGATCATCGAGTCTAATGGATTTTCTAGGCTGTATCATACTATATATAGTGGAGATTACTAGCTTGGTTCAGGAATTTTTATCCAGTTGGATTTTCTCTGTCAACTTATTTTGTATTGTTTATTACTTTCATATTATTGGTTATTCAAACCAGAGGATAATTTGACGTGATTGATTAACCATCTAAAAATAATTAAAAATTTGTTATAAAAAGAGAGAAAAGAGAAGGAAATAGAGAGAAGTGAATAGACTTGTGTGTATAAAATTGAGAACCAAAGCCATATATTTATAGGGTAATCAGAGATACAACAGTAATAATTTCTAGGGCTGCAGGGGTGTAATTGTCATTCACCAATAAACACTAATGACCTTTCCATTTTACAACACTCCCCCTTGAATGACACATTACAAAATATCTATCTCATTGAAACATTATTTGGTTAAAAAAAAAAAAAAAAATCCTAATGAGACAAAAATGCTAACAAAAAGAGTAAAAATAATTTGGAGTAATAAAATGCTGTCTCGTTAAAACCTTGTCAAGAAAACCCAGTTGGACAAAACTTGATCGAAGGAAAAAGAGTACAGCTACTCCCCTTGATTTCAGTTCTTGTATTAATTCATCATTGTCTTGGACGTCACTATCTTCAATATTGCAACTTCGGTGAAATGCCTCATATTGTCTTGTATAATCTTCAAATAACACCGTCTTTGTAAGGGATACTTCATCATTTTTTGATAACTGTAGTAACATGATGATTCGAAAAATAGCTCTTGTTGATCTTTTCAAGAGTCTCATACATATAATGTATTATTTTGAGGGTAAATGTCTTGCATATTATAGACATTCACTACACGAAGAATATGCCTCATTAAAACCTTATTAGGAAAAATCTCGTGGGAAAAAAATCCTAATGAAGGAAAAAGAGTACACTATTCTTTTGAATACGCTACAAAAGTTGTCTCATTAAAAACCTTGTTAAGAAAATCCAATGGGACAAAACCTTGGTCAAGGGAAAAAGAGTACAACGCGTATTTATTCCTCCTCTTAATAATATTACTTGAATTATACTTCAGGCATATTAAATCTTTCAAGATAACATTGATGGCCACGCCAGATGTATTGACTATAATCAAATTTGTATCAAATTCTATGCATTGTCAGATTAATAAAATTGAGACTTGTAATTATATCCACCACATGATAATTTATCTATTTATACAAGTATTCGTGAAATTCATTATATAAAGAGTCGTACATTTCATATTACGACTTTACTTTTTCTACTTTCGTTTCGCATAAATATACACCTTTTGGTGTTCGGACTATAGATCCAAAAACTTCAGGTTTCTCTAATAAGTTCAATTTCACTAGGATCGCGTCCATTTTATTTGGCCAATTATTATTTCGATCCATATATTTCAACAAATTTATTTCGATTCCTCGCTATTCATAATATGATGTAGTACACCATATATAAAAATGTTGTCGAAAACTTTTTCTTTTCTTGTTTGATTCTATCTTTGTCTCCATGATGATATAACTTATTAAGATATCTCAATTTTCAATAGGTACCTGAACCTCTTCTGAGATTTTATAATCTGTTATATCTAATTACTCATAAGAGTTTATGCCTCCTCGATGAGGCCACTTTGCTAATTGCTCCATTTTTCGTTTGGAGATTTTTTATATTAGAATCGAACATCATCACGCTTTAGGCGTGCCATAGATATATAAAATATAATGTTATCAAATTGTCCTTCTAGGACATCAATTTATATTGGAGCATTTAAGATTGATGCGTGAGATATTGTTTACATCTTTGATCAATATTCTCCATCTAAATAAATTATACTTCGAACTTTCGATTTGAGTGATCTTTGGCGAGGATTTTAGATGATGATGCATTTATACATTATTTTCAATATCTTAATTCCTCCTCCTAATGCTGAGAAAATTGACAAATATTTTACCGCATTATAAAATATCACCCATTTTGGATAAAAGTTCATACTACGCATTTATTCTTAGCATTCATTACTTTCCATCTCAATGTATCGTGATGGATCAATTTTACATATACTGCACAATCAAAATATTTAGATGGAGAATTTAGGCTCTGACCGTAAGCCAATTTTAACAGGGAGAACTATGATATTGGCAAGATGCGTAATAACATTCCTTAAACGGAAATGAAAAATACATTGTTCTAATTAAATTAATTGGAGACGTTTAACAAACAAGCTTGTTAAATGATTTATCGACATCTCAAAAAGCACTCATTAAAATGTTGAGATTTATACCCACTAGTATTAACAAGACATGATCTTGATTATTTAATCTGAAAATTATGCTCATACTTTAAAAATTTGAGTAATAATTTCGTAAACTTCAGGTTGCGACTACCATGCAATCATCTAGTATTTGTGTCAAAACTATTAGATACAAATGATATTTAAATGGTCAATGTCGTGGGTGATGGGGCCCCATATATCACCTTAATTAATTTTCAGAAATATAGGAAATTCAATCCCAATTTTAGCTAATTGTCTTTAATGATCAATTATCGATAATAAGAACAAATGATACATTGAAATTTATTGAATTGAAGAATCTTCAAGTTCTTCATTTTTTATTTCGCATCATTGTTGATCCAGTGATGGTCCAACTGGTCATGCCAATCAAATTGAACTTCTAGTTCAATATAAGATATAATCAAATTATTTAATTTCGAAAAATATGATTAAATATTATATAATCATATAATGATCAATGTCCACATGACATAGGTCGTAGGTTTTCCCTCCAGTGATAAACACAAATTCAAAATAATAATATTTTTTGAAAATGTGCTACTTCGAGAGCACATTAACATTAATAATTGCTTCTTCAAGAGCAGTACATAAACATTTTTCTGGATATTGATATATACCCAATTATGATTATTTATAAGTGATAAAATAATATTCTTCAGGAATATTGACACATTTAAGTTACTCGTAACATTTTTCTAAAATATTAATATGCATAAATTTGTGTTTATTCAGGAACACAATACGGTATTCTTCAAGAATATTAGTATATATTATTTTACTTCTTTTGGAGCAATAAATCAATAATTTTTCTCGAAAGTATTGAAATTGTAACGACATGCTCTCCAAAAACAGATCATTCTTTGAGAATATTGAAACACCAAATAGTATGCTCTTTTAGAGCTATAAATCAAGTATGCTCTTCTAGAGACATAAATCAATATTCTTCTCAAATATTAATAAAATAAGGAAATTATTTTCCTTTTAAAGATTACAATCAGTATTGAATTATTTGTGTTTCTTTAAGAATACAACGAGCTATAATTTAATAATTTTTTGAAATGTGTGCTACCTCAAGGGCACGTTGTATTTTATTATTGCTTCTTTAAAAGCAATATATCAATATTCTCCTGGAATATTGAAAGTTATACAAGAATTTACTCTTCAGGAGTAAAAACATAATTTTCTAATTATGCTCTTTGGGAGCAAATAAAATATAACTAGAACATTAATAATAATTTGCTGCTTCAGGAGCAAAAATATTTTATAGTAGACAAACATATGAATGCTAAATTCATGTATTATAAGGGTAAGAACAATACAATTAATCGAATGATAACCAATTTAAAGATGAACCTAAATTTAATGTACTGATAGATGAAATAGTTTAATTAATTAATTAATCAAATCATTATAATTTAATAATTGTAAACATATATTAAACTATTTAATTGATTAAATAATTTACTTAAATAATTTAATATATGATACTTATACAATCACAAACCATGAATAATCAAGTGCCCACTTTGTTTAATACAAACTTAAAATATGTCACCAAAATTTATTCAGGTTCAGTGATATAATTGTCCATACATATATGCGTATTCTATTGAATATGAAGATAAATTGCAAACTTACGCAGATAGCATTGCCATAGAACTTCCAAAAAGTACAGGAAGGAATTGATGATAAACTTGGGTGGCTGCAACCTTGGATATCAATCATTAACCATGAAGGAAAATTGCACACTTGCTGGTCACATATCTTGGGAATGGTCAGACACATAATTTGATGAACACGTGCATTAGTAATATCATGCTCTTCCGGAACACTTAATATTCTTTTGGAATATTTTATAGCGTGGGTTGTGTTTTTTCGAGAACATCAACACCATATTCATTTAAAATAAATATAATTTAAGTTTTACTTCTTCAAAAGCATTAAGTCAATATTCTTCTGGAATATTGAAATTGTAACATCATGCTCTTCTAGAGCAATTAATATTCTTCTAGAATATTAATAATGTTGTTCTACTTCAGGAACACCAACAAACTCTTGTTTAAAAATATTAACTCTATAGGAGTATGTTATCATTATAAGATATTTATCGGTATAAAGATCTGCTCTTCAGGAGCCTTGAACATAATATTTTTTCTGGATTATTAATTATAATATTGTGCTACTTTGGGAGCCACAACAATATTTGTAATAAACAGATTTCTAATTAATATTCTTCTAAGATATTAAAAAATATTGTTCATGTAATATGCTACTTCAGGAGCGATAACAAATTATTTATAATACATAAATCTACAATTAATATTCTTCTGGATTATTGATTATAATGTTGTGCTACTTCAGGAGCAACAACAAAATATTTATCTATGATATCGATCTACGAAATTTCTCAAATCAGAAAATCAACTGAATTTCATAGAATCCGCTCTTCGAGACAGAGTAATATTCTACTCGAATATTAACATCATATGAAATTTAATACCCATGAATTTTGGATTCTTCAAGAATAACAAGATATTCTTCATGACCAATATGTCAATGTTGTGCTACTTCAGGAGCAACAACATATTTGTAGTAGACAGATATACGAATACGTATTTGTAAATTTTCATGATTTTTAGTTTGTATAAAATACATGAAAATCGAACAAACCTTTTATATGAGTAATTTCTAAACATTAATATCATACCATATGCTCTAGACGACGGATAGTTGACCCACGTATAATTGGCAGTAGATTCACAAATTTAATGGCAACACAATTGGGCTTTCATTGTAATTGTTTCTTGAATTTTGTCAGAATCGCCTTGCCTTCTTCTTGACTCCTAAGAATCAACAGTATGGTACATGAAATCATGATATGATTTATATGAAAAAATAATTACCAAATATGCATGAGTGATTTTTTTCCCTTTAATACAGACGTGCACAAAACTTTTACTATATATACGTAAAATTAAGGGACGTGTATTATGCAAGCAAATACAATGATGATGGATAAAACTGGCAGTAGGAGAATTTAACGCAAGACAATTGTAGAAGGAGACGTCAATTATGGATGTATGGTTATTCATTACTGCATTATTAAGAAATTATAGATCTCAATTCATACACAAAGTACAGCAAATGATGTGGCGGCAGCATGTAAAGCTAAAGAAACCATTAATTGAGAAGAATAAAGGTATAGGTAATAAGGCGGTGGTGGCAGAAGTCCAAAGAAACCATGAATTGATGGATAAATCCACAACAATCGATTAACCAATCAATAGAGTATATATCTCCACCAAAGCACGTGAATTGATGGAAAGAAACCATTAATTGATGCACATCAATTGATAATTCACAAAAGAAACTAAAAGAAACCCATTATGGCGACGGCAAACCAAGAAACAATTGAGGTCACATATCTCGGATTTGACAGATGTATACGTAAAATTCATGTGTTATCAAATTAATTTTGATACACGCGAAAGATTATTTTGCTTACAAAATTATCACATTCTAAGAGAATCGTGCTAATAACGTGTTATAAAAAGAGAGAAAATAGAAGAAAATAGAGAGAAGTGAATAGACTTGTGTGTATAAAATTGAGAACCAAAGCCCTATATTTATAGGGTAGAATTAGGGATACAACAGTAATAATTTCTAGGTATGCAGGGGTGTAATTGTCATTCACCAATAAACCCTAATGAACTTTCCATTTTACAACAAAATTGACTTTTTGCTTTTAATTGTATAATTCCACACATTGGGTCAAAATAAATTGGCAAATCTATTCTTTTAAATGATATCAAAGCCCAAATTTGATTCCTCCCCCTACTTTTTCTGGATGAGTAGTTCATTATCTGTCCTGCCATATTTTGATGGAAGTAATTACATGTATTGGAAAGTTAGGATGAAAGCCTTCTTAAAATTGATGGATGAGCGTATTTGGTCTAGTGTAGTGAACAATTGGTCAACTCCTTCTAGCACCGTTAATAGTGTTATCACCCCCACTCCTGTTGCTAATTGGTCGAAATCTAATTTAGATGAGTACAATTGGATTAGTAAAGCCCCTTCTGTTGTAATTTGAAAGCTAAATTATCCGAAAATTAAAAAATTTCTTTAGTTTAATGAATAAGATCATCTAGATGTTCATGTGTATGTTATATCAAAAATAAAGGAATCAAATTTTTACCTATATTCAATGGTCAATTCTTGAATAAAGTCTAAATCATGAAATTCTAGCTTCTTATTTTCAAGAACTTGATGCTTCAAACCTCCAAAGTCTTTTTGGTATTCTCCAAAGTTAATACTACATTAGTGGGTGGACAACTTCTTTTAATTAAATCAAGAAACTAATTTTAGAACATGACAATTGAAAAAATCAAGAAATTTTTTCTTTCTTTTTCTCTCTCCAAATTTGAACACCAAGAAGTTATGTATTATGATTGTTGTACATTTTATTGAGTGTCTGGGTTCCATCCAATCTCTATTTATTGAAATAAAAAAAAATTTCAACCCTTATACAATAATAATTTCACATTCAAATAGGAGTTCTAATTAAAATCCAAGTTGGAGTTTTAATTAAAGTCCAAATCCAATTAGTTTATATTTAACTACATGTGTAGTCCTAAAACTTTAATTACAATTATAATTAAGTTTACAACTTTTGTAATAATTACAACTAAGTACAAAACTTTATTGTAATTACAGTTAAGCTCAAAACTATTATGATTAATATAATTAAGTTTCAATACTTTATGAAACAACCATAAGGACCTGATCGAACATATATTATCCAATTCCAATAATTAAATAATGTCTAGTCGACCCTAAATCATCCAATCTAATTATTAGTCTTTGATTTTTCCACTAGTGGCAAAAGATTGAAACTCTTGAAATATATAAGATTACAGAAGCTAATAAGTCTGTAATACTATCCCCTCACCTACCATATATGTATTTTATCCCCGTTTGAGATCCAATAATTAAGTAAGAGCATAAATGACCATTTCGCCCTTCTAATTACTCTCGCTAACTTAAGTTTCATTTTCTTCAACGATCCTATGAACTAATCAGAGATGTCAAAGTTTAACCGTCACTTAATACTAAGAACAGATTTTAACCATTCAACAGAAAATATGTAAGTAGTTTTTCTATCCATTTTCATGATGACGGTTTTCGACACGAATTTATGTTCTCTACTCCACTCATTCTCAAGTTCTCAACTCATCGAGATATTTGAACAATCAAATTGATCTCACTCACTACAAAAAATTCCAGGTCCAGCGACCAAAAAAATTGGTCACTGAAGGTCATTATTTGGTCGCTATAGGTCTCTAGCGACCACAAAACGGTGGTCACTGATTGGTCGGTAATAGACTGTCGGTGATGGTCTTCAGCGACCAATAAGTTGTGGTCGATGGATATATACATTCCAACGACCAGTTATTGGTCGATGGTAGGCTTAGCCGTATTCGCTACGAGTTGTGCAGCGACCACTGTATTGGTCGCTAATATAAGAGTGGTTGCTATATATTGGATTCACCTTTTTTTGGAGACTTGATTTGAAGTACTACCCTTGGCATCTTTCTTAAAGGAATTGCTCTTTCTGATTCTTAAAGCATAAGAGATCTATTGGTTTGGTTTATCTTGATACGCTGGTCCTCTGTTAAAACAAAATTAAAGTATCCATTTATTGAACTTCAAATGGAAGGTATTACAATCAGCTAAGTATTCAACCACAGCATAAGGATGAACATGTAAGCAACACGAATTTACATGTCAATTTTACTGAACACAGTGCAAGCTGTCTGAGGTTGGCTACATAGTGACAAAATTAGTTCCCCATGGAGGGTACACATGCTTTAAGAGATTGGCAAGAAGAGCCACTCACCCCAAGTTTTGAAGTGCATGAGTTTATGATCAAGAGGCATGAATCCAATTTTACCCGAAGACTTCAACTATATTCACTAGTCTGCAACTATATTAACCCTACATTACCATAGCTTTAAACAAGTAAGACTCGTAAATAACACATCATAGCCCCCAAACACAATAAATCCTAAAACCGATTATTTCCAAGATAAACTCGACCAGCTTGGGTGCATAAATTCTAGAGGGTAATTAGAAAATTAACCAAGATATAATTAGAAAATAAACCTTCTTGGCTTCTTGCAAGTACATCCGGAACCGGAACTAAATCATTTTTCCAATTGATTTTAGACAATTTGACTCTACATTATGCAAAAAGAAAGAGGAAGCAGAAGTCAACTATTCCAAATCACAGACTAGGAAAAGCTCACTCCATTCCTTCTGCAACTGATTTCTCAAAATACATATAAGGATTAACTAATGAATATTGTGACACTAGAACAATCAAAAATTGATTATAACTCAAGATTGAAGTTTCAGACCCAGTATAATAATATGAAAGTGAGATATCAGCAACTCAGTCAAATGGGATTTGCACGTATGTCCGTGCTATTTTCCACGTGCAAACAAAGACCACTCCAACCCATCACAATAAATGCAACATTTACTAGCAGAAACAAAAATTAATTAAATTTTATTGAATATAAGACCTGGAGGTGATGTGTCATGATCGCAAATATAGACCCGCATCCCACCCTGCATAATTTTGTCGACACATAATCAGAAAATATATGGAAAAAACTGAAGTACAAATGCATGTCTCAAGAAGAAAATTCTATCATCAGTTACAGCCAGAGAACTTCTATAGATGCCCAGATGCGTAGAGCCTGAGAAGAAATAACATAGAATAAATAATAACTAAACATCCACATTCCTCAAAAATTGCTTCATTACTGTAAATAGCATCTTTAATGTTAACAGAAGTGATATTTGGAACAGAAAACCCAAAATATATACGGATCCAATTCATAATGTTCTAGAAATCTGGGTCTTCATTAATTACACAATCCACATTTCAGTCACCAATCTTAGATAATAGGAGTATTGTCATACAAGTAGGTGCATTTCTAAAAGAATACCTGTGACGATGTCAAACCACTAGAGCCCAAATTTATGTTAAGCCAGTCCGCGACTAAGTCCACGAGTTTTTTTATGAAGAGGACCTAAAAAATATTTGAAGAAAATTAATGTTAATGAAAGAGCAAGAATTCAAGTCACAAAAATTTATAGTTGCATTAAATGATATGCATAACTTATATATAAATACATTAAAAATTTTGCGACAGAGAGTCTGATTGCTCCATTAAAAAATTGACTCTGAATGCAAAAATATGGAGCAACAATCATAAAATTTTTTAACTCAAGGGATGCACTTCTGACAGAGAATCTGATTGCTCCATTACTAAAATAATTTAACCTCAAAAATAATCTAAAAATCATTTGTTTCAACAGTTAGTTACTTTCAATTCTTTTGTAGAGAATGCTTTACATCTCTTTCGGATATTGACAAAGTAGATGCTTGAAGTGCCTACAAATAATTGTAAATTTCTGGTCTTACTGTGTGGTAAGAGGTGGATAGTAAAAGTACGTTTGACAGCATAAATCATAAGCTATGCTTTTGCCAAACATGCACAAAGTACGGTAACTAATAAAAAATAATAAAATTGACATCAAAATCCATAAAGCTTATTGGTGTAGGAGAAACTTGTGTACAAACAATTGTGCAATTTATTATTGTCATGTAATAAAGTTAGCAAAATTTCATGAAATAATGTTCAAAGAATCTTTTTATTAGACACTTGTTTGCAACAAAAATGAACTTAATAAGGATTAATATGGACTGCAATGACTGTCAAACAGGTCAATCACCTCACATGGCTTAAATGCTCAACTGCATTCAATATTCCCCTCACTAAACAATTTATACTGACATTGAATCCTCAAAACAGAAAATAAGATATGAAGATTTAAAAATATGACCATTACATGAGTTCCTCTATTTTCAAGAGAAAATATACTTGTGAAGTTGCTGATACAAATCCTTACCTTGAAGACTATACTCAGTTATTCAGCAAAATCGAGCTCAAGAATATTCTGATGGCGCTGTCAGTACTTCTATATTTGTCGACTGTGGGCGACTGGGCGTCAAACACTGTAGCAACCAAAGTTTTGTTCAGTTTCAGATGAAGAGGCGAAGGGGCTTGAATGTTACTTCAGAAGTTCTTGAAATTCAAGATGAAGTAGAAGAAGAGAGGAGAAAATTACATAATAATAGTAGAGCTGGCATATGTGATAGAGAGAGGGAGCTTAGAATTGGTGAGGGTTTGGTAACTGTTAGGATCTTCCTCAAGCTGCTCAAAGTGATTTTCGGGCTCAGTTAACCATTAAACATCGAATTCAACACCAAAAATCGAGATGACCGACCATCGGCGCCAACTTCTTCCTATGGTTGCTATTGCTCTTTTGCTTGTTGATTCTACCACACACTTAGGATGGATACCACACAGGTAAGAGTCACAAAGCCTCAAGCAATTGGCAGGGAAGATTAATCACGAAGAAGAAGGCAGCAGTTCTCTTTCTCTCTCGGGTTCTTTCAAACGGGACAAAGGAGAAGGAGTTAACTACCAATATATATATATATATATATATATTAGTTCAATGGCCAACTTAAGGTAAGTCACAATATGGTAAGTAGGCTCGACTAGGGTTAAGTCCCAATAGAAAAACAACAAGCCACAAAGATTATTAGCCATCCAATAGGTAAAGCAACGCTAGGTCGGTTCATCCATTATTCGGTGTTGATTTATGGTTCAGTCATTCATGTCGACTGATAAAATTGATTTTCATCATCGCCCTGGAGGTCGTTTGACAACATGATGTCTAACAACCTCCACCTTGGTGTCAAAGGACCTGCAAAGAAAAACGTTTTCCATTAGTGACACCTCTAACAGAAAATCGATAAAATTGAAATCATTTACCTGTACCGATGTTTAGAAGCTCCTTGCAACTTCTAAACTTTACTAGTGGCAGTACTTTCGTGGCCATATCTGAAGGATTATATTGTGCGTGAATTTTTTCAAGTCTTACTACTTCTTATGATATTATATCCCTAATGAAGTGTAACCTAACATCGATATGTTTAGTGCGTTCGTGAAAAACAGGATTCTTACACAGATGTATGGATGACTGACTATCAGAGTACACAACCACATACTCATTCAAGACACTCAGTTCATGAAGTAGACCTCTAAGCCATAGAGCCTCTTTAATTGCTTCAGTGGTGGCAATATATTCTGACTCTGTAGTGGATAGTGCAACTATGTGTTATAACTGTGATTTTCAACTAACACACGAATTTGATAAGGTGAATACGTAAGAGGAAGTTGATTTCCTACCATCCTATCTCCTGCATAGTCAGCATCTACAAAACCCTTTAATTTCACGCCTTCCTTATTAGTACTAAATTTTAGACCTACGTCACTTGTACCCTTCAAATATCTTAAAAGCCACTTTAATGCTTCCCAATGTTCAGGACCTGGATTAGACATGTACCTACTGAGAGTACTAACAACGAATCCTAAGTCCGGTCTAGTGCAAACCATCAAATACATTATGGAACCAATCACATTTGAGTATGGAATTTTACTCATATATTCCACTTCACGTTCATTGCAGGGAGCTTGTTCTTTTGATAGAACAAAATGGTTTGCAAGAGACAACGTGACAGGTTTGCAGTCACTCATATTAAACCTTTTCAACACCTTTGATATGTATGGAGACTAATGCAAGAATACGATGGAATTTGACTTATTTCGTTCTATTTCCATGCCTAGAATCCTTTTAGCCTTTCCTAGGTCTTTCATGTCAAATTCTCTACTAAGATCTGCTTTTATACTGTTTATCCACTTAGGAGATGATCCAACTAAAAGCATGTCATCCACATAGAGCAACAAGAACAAATAATTGTTATCAGTCTCGTTGTGTTGAAAGTATAGGCAGTGATCGAATTTACTTCTTTGAAATCCTATAGTGAGTACAAAGGAATCAAACCTCTTGTACCACTGTCTAGGTGATTGCTTTAGACCGTATATGGATCTTTTCAGAAAACACACATAATCAGGTTTTAACTTGTCTTTAAAACCTTTTGGTTGATTCATAAAGATTTGATCATCAAGCTCTCCATGTAAAAAAGCGGTTTTTACATCGAGTTGTTCAAGTTCCCAGTCAAAGCGCGCAACCAATGCGAGCATGACCCTAATAGTAGTGTACTTGACAACTGGTGAGAAAATCTCGTTATAATCAATACCTTCTTTCTGTGTGTAACTCTTTGCTACTAACCTAGCCTTAAATCTTAAGGGTTATGTACTACTAGTACCTTCCTTAACCTTAAAGACCCACTTGCAATCAATGATTGATTTATTCTTAGGTCTTGGTACTAACTCCCAAGTTTGATTCTTTTCTAGAGAACTCATCTCTTCTTTCATAGCCTTAAGTCACTCCTTAGATTGACCACTATTCATAGCCTCTTCAAAAGTTTTCGGCTCCCTATCAACTAGTTCTTCGTAACTAGCGTATGCAAAATCCAATTCAGATTCATAGCCGAACCTTCTAGGTTCTCTTGTTTGTCTTCTTTCTCTATCTCTAACTAAATTATAATTAGCTAATGAATTTTCTTCCTCAGGATGCTCTTCTATCACTACCTCATTTTCCTCTTCAGGTTCTTGGACCTAAATCTCCACCTCACTAGAAGTACTAGGTACTGATGTGTTAAATTTTCCTAACTCCACCTTAAACCGATTTCTTTCTTCACTTGATTCAGTTTCACTTACAGGTTCGGTTTCGTTCTTTAGACAAGGCATCTCACTCTCATTAAATGTGACATCCCTACTCACGATGATCTTAACTCCTTTTTGGTTTCTATCCCATAGCCTATAGCCCTTAACCCCTTCGGGATATCCTAGAAAGACACACTTCCTGGCTCTAGGTTCTAACTTTCCCTCACTTTGATGAGAAAAGGCAGCACAACCAAACGCTTTAAGCATTGAGTAGTCACCCAATTTTTCAGACCATTTCTCATGTGGAGTATCACCATTTAATGCAGCCGATGGAGTCAAATTTATTAAATAACAGGCAGTGACAACGGCTTCACCCCAAAATGACTTAGGAACCCCAGAACTTAACATCATGCAGCGCACTTTGTCTAGTATGGTCCTATTCATTCTTTCTGCTACCCCGCTTTGCTGGGGAGTATAAGGAACCGTTTTGTGCCTTGTTATTCCACTTTCTTTACACATCCTATCGAATTCAGCATTACAGAATTCTAGGCTGTTATCTGTCCTTAAAAATTTGATCCTCTTGCTAGTTTGGTTTTCCATTTGTTTCTTCCAGTTGTTAAAGTTATGGAAGGTTTCAGTTTTGTTTTTTAATAGATAGACCCACACTTTCCTGGTGTAGTCATCTATAATAGATAGGAAATACCTATTCCCACCCGATGTGGGATTACTAGCAGGACCCCACAGATCAGAATGCACATAATCAAGCATGCTTTTAGCCTTATGCATACTAGTGGAGAACGACACTCTATGGTGCTTTCCAAGCACACAGTGACCACAGAACGATAGGTTAGACACACAGTCATTACCAAATGCACCTTTTTCATTAAGTAGTTTAAGTCCTTTAATGCTTACGTGTGCAAGCCTACTATGCCACGTATGTTGTGATCGATTTTGGCGGAAGAAATAGAGGAGTTTAATCTTCTAATCACTTCCCCAGTAGTGATGTAAATGTCGTTTTTCTTGATTCCCTTAATAGAGATTAACGCACCCTTCATCATTTTAAACATACCGTTTTCAATTTTATCGGTGAAGTTGTCTTTCTCAAGTCTTCCTACTGAAATCAAATTCCTAGATAATTCCGAAATGTATCTAACTTCCTTTAACATGTACACAAAGCCTGTGTTAAATTTTATCTTTATATCTCCAATTCCAGCAATTGTATAGGCAAAGTTATCACACAGAACTACTTGCCCATCATTAGATTCTTGCAAGTTTTCAAACAAGTTCTTTTCAAATGTCACATGAAAAGACGCACCAGAATCTAATATCCATTCATGCATGTGAGAATTAGTAGTTAGATTTAATTCAGTAGTGTATGCGACTGGACTAGTGATCACATAGACTTCACCGTTTTCGATATCGGAGGTAGAGGATAACACATTTACCTCATCTCTTTCCTTAACCTTTTGTTTTCCCTTTTCTTTATGACAGTCTTTTATAAAATGCCCTGTGCCTCCACAGCCATAGCATTTTCTAGCCTTAGTTCTAGACTTTGATCTAGGTCTACCATTCCCCTTCTTTTTCCAACTATTACTACTTGATTCACCACTACTTTGGTATCCATCATGACTGGCTTGCCTAAATTGAGTTCTACCCCGCATCATATGCAACTCTCCACTCCTCATATCCTATTTTTCAGCCCTCATTTCCATCTCCTTACTCCTAAGAGAATCTACGATAATTTCAGGTGTTAGCGTGTCCCTACCATACTTAATGGCATTTTTAACTTCTTTATAAGAGTCTGGGATTGAATTGAGCAAGATAATGGCCTTATAGGTTTCAGATACGGCTTCGTCACAATTGACAATAGCTTGCACCAATTTGTTAAATACATCTAAATTGTCGTCGAGATCCTTTGAAGGATCCATTTTAAAGCTGAAGAATCGTTCGAGTAGGTAGAGTTTATTCGATGTAGATTTAAGCAAGTATAAGTCTTCTAGTCTTTTCCAAAGTTCTTTGGTGGTTTTTAGTTTTCCCACTTTTCTTAAGATAGCGTCGGACAAGTGTAATATTATTGAGGTATAGGCAAACTCATCGGCTTCCTCTTTTTGTTCTTTTGAGATGTCAGGTGCAAAATTGCCTTCGATGGCTTTTGACACCTTTTGTTGGACTAGTATGCCTCTCATCTTTTGTTGCCAGATAGAGAAGTCTCCTTTACCGTTAAAAATTTCCAAATCAAAATTATGTGTTGTCATTGGTTAACACACTAATTAAACCACACGAAGTAGTATTGGGAAGCGTGATAAGGTAATATCTTGTTAATTCTTAGCAAAAGTAACAAAGAACCTAAACGCTACATCCACCAAGAAATAACAAGCACTTTAAATTAAAAGAACAAACACTCAATTAACGCAAGTAATCCTAATTCTAGCACA